ACACCATTGATCTTTTTAGCAATTTGTAGGGGGGCAATTCTTCCCAATGACCACAAGTGTAAGGAGCATTCTTACCTCTGACTATCACACTAATGTATCATGAATTGTAGATAAAGCAATTTTTAGCAGGGGTTCTCTGAGACCGGAAAGGTACATTAAGGGTTCCCCTGCGTTAAAAAGGTTGAGAAAGGCTGCCCTAGCCAGTCTCTTGGCTGATTTTATAGGAAATTTGGTGTTGAAGAAAAACCGCATGTAGATAGCTCAATCTAAATGTCACTTCCCCAAGCACCTTCGTTCAAGACTGTTTGGCATTTCCCTCAGCACTAGTTGCATACCAGGCTGACAGTGAAGGCCTTAGAGCACAAATATGGTATGCGGTACCTTTGTTCTACCGCTCCAAGACAGCTGAAGTAAATTCCTTGCTATGGAGCTTTCACCAGGTTCTGGTTGGAACCATATTGGTTGCTTGTTGGAAGGAGAGATAATGTACTTTTAAGCCTTCCTTGTGTAGTTTCAAGGTTCATGGCCCCAAGAACTTACAACAGCAATTTCCTTGATCTCCTATGTACTGGTGTTGAACTACTGATAAATATCCAGCTCTAGAGAAGATCAAGGAGGTATGCCAAGCTTCCAAAAGCAAATAGTGATTAGACCTTTGGGGGGGTCAAATAGGTTAATATAATTTATTTAGTGCTCTAAATTATTCCTAATGATATCCACTCTTAGTCTTTTTTCATCATCATTTTATATCAAACCGCATCATACTTCTCCAATAACTAATCTCATAGTTTTTCAAGGAGCCTGACACACAGAGACCTTGTCACCACCTCTGACTTTTTCAGTAAAGTAAAGCATGAAATATTCTTTAGAGACCCAGCTGCTGTTTCAGACCTGCTGAAGTTGACACTTTTAATAGTGTGGGATTGTTGTGGCTCCCCTCGCTCATGCCCATCTCTTACGGTCACAGGGTGAGTGAGCAGCCAGCTTTTGGTAGGGCCTTCTGTCGGTGGTGCATTGTCCCTTTAAGAATGTGAATGATGAGTGATAGAAAAGCTGATAGGTAACAGCAGTCTCCGTAGCGTTAAACAGTATGTAAAAAACTCCAACATTTCATATTCCTGATATGTGCCTGCTGATCTATGTACATGTATGAAAAAGTATCCTGCTCTCTTTGTACTGTTTCCTTTGTGTTCCTGCCAGCCCCCCGCTTTCCTATTAAAAACTGACCACACTAGGAATGAGAACACAGCGTAGCCAGTTCTCTAGCTGTGCTGCTGGGAACACAGGCTGCTCTCCTCCAATGATCAGACTTCTGCTGACACGCCCCCTCTGCAAAACCATTCACTGGGATGATCAGTGTGCTGCTATTTCTCCTCCCTAAGCTCCTTATGCAGCTGAGAACAGAGGATATATGGTCAATTATAAAAAAGGGAAAAAAGACATTAAAGTCAATTCACAGAAGCAAATAAATAATTAAATGCATGCGGTAACTAAGTAGCGGTCAAGGCATGCGGTATGTACTGATTGATAAGGAGTGGGTGGCTGATGACATCCTAAGGGCTGATTCACACATGTGCGGTGTGGATTGAAGCTCAGGTTTCATAGCTAATTGGTACAGTAGATGTTCAGTGGTTCAGGTCAGGTTTACATCAGGTTCAGGACAGGTTTAGATCAGGCTCAGGTCAGGATTTTATCCTGTTCACAACTGATAACGTGCGGTTTACAAATGGCTCCCATAGAAGTCAATAGCCTGTAATCCGCACCTGAACTGGGCTGCACTTCTCAGAAATTGGACAGCACTCTTTTTCAATCTGCACTGAATCCACACTGTCAAGCGGATTGACTGCGGTTCAAACCGCATCAAATCCGCATATATACACTATATTGCCAAAGTATTGGAACACCCCAAATTATTGGATGCAGGTGTTCCAATCACCTCCATGGCCACGGGTGTATAAAATCAAGCACCTAGGCATGCAGACTGCTTCTACAAACATTTGTGGAAGAATGGGTCGCTCTCAGGATCTCAGTGAAATCAAGCGTGGTACTGTGATAGGTTGCCACCTGTGCAATAAGTCTATCCATGAAATTTCCTTGTTACTAAATATTCCACTGTTAGTGGTATTACAATAAAGTGGAAGCAACTAGGAACAACAACTCAGCTACAATGTGGAAGGCCACGTATGCGCGGTTAGTGCAAGCTGATGCGCACATTACGCAGAAGTCACCAACTGTCTGCAGAGTCAATAGCTAAAGGCCTCAAAACTTAGTGTGGCCTTCAGATTAGCACAACAGTGCGTAGAAAGCTTCTTGGAATGGGTTTCCATGGTCAAGCAGCTGCATTAAAGCCTAAGGCTCCATGCACACTGGGTGTTTTGATAACGCTGGTAATGTTAGCTGTGTAAAGTCACATTAAGAAAATGAGTTTTTCAGCTTTTTTTTAGCATTTTTGCATTAGCGTTTAGCTGCGTTTTGATGCGATTAGCGGCATTTTCCGATGTTTGTGGTTTTTGTGGTAAAAAAAGTCCACAAACAATTGGTTGACGTGTTTTTCAGCGATTTTCAGAGTTAGAGCGTTTTTACAGCTAAAAAACTCTTCTAGAAACCCACTAGTCCTGTCTATTTTTCAGCCAAAAAACATCCCAGCCAAAAAATGTTGATTACAGGCTATGTGTGCATGGGCACATAGGATAACATGCTGGGGGGTTTACTTGCTGTAGAAAAAAACGTGAAAAGCCAAAAATAGCAGCTGTAAAAACGTCCAGTGTGCATGAGGACTTACATCACCAAGTGCAATGCAAAACATCGGATGCAGTGGTGTAAAGCACGTCACCACTCTACTCTAGAGCAGTGGAGACGTGTTGTCTGGAGTGACAAATCACTCTTCTCTGTCTGGTAATCCGATGGATGTGTGTCTGGGTTTGGAGGAAACCGGTACTTGCCTGACTGCACTGTGCCAAGTGTAAAGTTTAGTGGAGGGGGATTATGCTGTAGGATTGTTTTCCAGGGGTTGGGCTTGGCCCTTTAGTTCTAGTGAAAGGAGCTCTTAAGATGTCAGCATACCAAGACATTTTGGACAACTTCATGCTCCCAACTTTGTGGGAATAGTTTGGGGATGGCTCCTTCCTGTTCCAACATGACGGCGCACCAGTGCACAAAGCTGGATGAGCGAGTTTGGGGATGTCATTAAAGTTCATGTGCGTGTAAAAGCAGGCGTCCCAATACTTTTGGCAATATAGTGTATGTGAACGGCACTTAAAGTGGAACTACACTGCATCTGAGCACCACAAACCAAAAATGCTATTTCATTAATTGTTAATAGTCAATGCAAACTCCTCCATCTATCCATCCATGTCTCCAAGCTCTATTTTGCTAGGAAATCATTTTGAAAACACCCACTAGCATTTCTGGCAGTGGTCATCTTGAGTAAGGGCAGATGATTCATGTTGCATTTACTGCCTGGAAGCTATCTGCCCTGAGCTCAGGCATTGGCTGAGCTGAGAATTCTCCCTCCCCTCCTGAAGACTGTTGGGATGTATGACATCATTTTCCTAAGGAGGAAACCAGAAAGTAACTGACGAAATGTAAAAAAAAAAAAGTTTAAACTAGTAAATATGATATGCTTTCCTGTCTATGTACTAATACTAGCAGCATAAAGATTAAATATAGTCAATGTTGATTGAGAGAGTGAAGTTCAACTTTAATAACAGTAACTGTCATGGTTGTTAAGGAGAGGGCAGACACCGTGTCCTTAACAGCTGATGAGTCAGAGAGTGGGGTTCCTCGCTGATAGCTGAATGTAAAGAGAAGAATTGCAGGCAATTAAAATTAAGGAAAAAAATGGCATGGGGTCCCTCCCCATCCATACTAGGCCTTTCAAGTCTGGTATGGATTTTGAGGGGAACCACCACGCCAAAATAAAAAAAAATCTATATGAGACCCTTATCTGAGCATGCTCTCTGGCAGGCCAGGAAAGGGGGAGACGAGCGGGGGGGAGACTCCTTCTCATTTGCCAAAAAAAGTGTAGTGTAAAAAAACACAGGAGGCAGTCTTTGACAAGTCCCCTGGTGTAGATCCATTGCCAATCACAATGCCTGCTGCTATTGTTGACCCTGGAAAAAAAAAAGAGAGGCTCTGCCTCCGACCAAGGCTCCCCCTGTCTGACAGCAACACCGCCTGACAGTTCTTAAGGGCTGGGTACACCCCTTGACATCACTGGGCAACCTTGCCCCCTCGTGACATCATTGACCAGGAGCATACTGGGTTGATGATGTTACAAGGGGTCAGGGTCACTCCCTCATATTCTAAATTTCTACGGGCTTTTTTTTTTTCAATTATAACTCTGCCCTCTACAGCTTCATTTACCTGCAAGTCCAGGGTAGCCTGATGACATCCCCTCAGGGACGTTCGTATTTGATGACCTGGCTCACAGGAAGTGGACTGAATGACTTCCTTCCTTAATAATGGAAAAGTGATGTTTTTTTTTTACTATGCAGGTGTTGGACTATACAGTAGAACTATAGGAAAAAACTTTTTTTTTTACCACTTGCCCTCCAGAGGATTTACCCCCCTTCCTGACCAGGCCATTTTTTGCGATACTTTGCTGCGTTACTTTAATTGACAATTACGCGGTCATGCAACACTGCACACAAATCAAATATATGTCCTTTTTTCCCACAAATGGAGCTTTCTTTCGGTGGTATTTGATCTCCTCTGTGGATTTTATTTTTTGCGCTATAAACAAAAAACGACCGACAATTTGAAAAAAAAAAAGCAATATTTTTGACCTTTTGCTATAAAACATGTCCAGTACAAATATAAAAAATGTAAAAAAATCAAATTTTGTCATAAAGTTAGGCCAAAATGCTACATGTCTTTGCTAAAGAAAATCCCGATACGTGTAAATTATTTGGTTTACGTGAAAGTTATAGCGTCTACAAATAGCGGTATACTGGAATTTTTTGTTATACTAGTAATGGTAGCGACTTATAGTGGGACTGCAGGACTGCGGCGGGCATTCTGACACTGGGGGGAACTGACTAACTGCCACTGACATCTTCAGTGACACTAATACAGTGATCAGTGCTAATAAAAAGCACTGACACTGTACTCATGGCAGTGGGCAGGAAGGGGTTAACATGAGGGGCAATCAAAGGGTTAACTGTGTGCTGTTTTATTGTGTGCTGTGTTTTACTACGTAAGCATGCTGCTTTGTATTGCTGAACAATACTAAGCAGCATGCTGGTGCTGACAGGGAGAGATCTGTATTTTTTACATACACACCTCTCCCCTGTCGGTGTTCCTCAGTGATCGCTGGGTGTCGGCAGAGAATCTCCATCCGGGACCCGGTTATTGACAGATGTAGCTACCAATGGCAGTGCGGGTAGGGCGGTGCACGCAGCACCCCCTACCCGGAAATACAAAATAATGCATATATACATGATTTTGCGCAGCCCTGCAGTAGTTCTGCTATAGGGCGGTCAGGAAGCGGGTCATTTTGAAGTAAGGGAAGGCTATAAACCAGTTTTTTTTCACCATCTGTGTCCCATTGGGGAGATTTCCCTTTACTTCATCTCCCATATCCCAACAGGAAGTGAGAGGAAATCCCTCCAAAGTGAGGGAATCCCTGGACGTAGCTAGAACTAGTCTCCCAAATGGAACATCTCTTCAGGAGACAACCAAAAATTTGGAATTTTCTTTTACTTTCAATGATAATGGTAAACATCACAGATCGAGAGAGTGAATCTCCCTATTGGGGACACCGACAGGAATAAAAACTGACAGGGATTCTAATCCATCTCCACCCTAATAAAAGGTTTGCTTTTATTATTATTATTATTATTATTATATTATTATACAGGATTTATACAGCACCAACAGTTTGTGCAGTGCTTTACAAAATGAAGGTAGACATTCCAGTTACAATACAATAAAATGCCCCTTTAGTTATACTTTACTTCCCACCCCTTGGCTCCATCCTCAGTCCCACTGACTGGTGCCCTCTCCTCTATTTTAAAACACTGGAAAGACAGAGAGCTCAGTGAAGCCAGATTTATTTCTCTGCAGTCTCTTCAAGAGAGGACAGCAATGGCGTGTTCGGCAGAGGGCGCCACACACAATTTCAAATACCCAGCAATACCATTTCAAAGATGGCCATTTCAGGCTTCTGAGACGTGTTGCCTCCAGCCTATCAGCTTAATTTCTGGTGCCCTGCAAGCCGGAAGTGATGTCAGTGCACTGCCAGAAGCGGGCTAGACAAGCGCAGAGGGCTGGAGTGTGAGAATTGCGGTTACAAGCGGTATTTGTTCGGTTTATTCCAGGGATTTCCGTTGTCACCGGCTCCCTGCACCTGTCCGGGTGTAATGTGCACACCATAACAGGGAGAACCCATTCGTCTGTCTTCCCCGGAGTGGTGCTGCAGGTGATGTCAGAAGACTTGTAGAGCACAGACACCGGATGGACTTGTAAACATCCTACATGGAGGATCAGAAGGAGAACAGACCACTACAGCCTGAACACGTGGACGAGGATGATCTGGCCTGGAAGTTGTGGAAGAATGTGGAGCTCGGTGGAGGGGTACTTGTCTCTGTCCGGGGTTTATATGGCATGCAGCTTCTGGATTGGGCTCATAGGGCACCCTCATAACGATCAATCGTGTGTTTTCTTAGTGTGTTTATCTTATGGGAGATCTGATGTCATTTGGTGCGCTTTTGTATTGTTTATATTTGTATTTCTTGTAGATTCTCAGCTGATGGATTTGCATTGAGAAAGACGACGTTTTCTTACATCATTCCTAAGCCTAAGAATACGTCATGTATAGATATGGCCAAACACCTGTACACATGATTCCTTTTAAAGCTGAACTCCGGCAGAAAATTTAAAACGGCCCTTAAAGTGTGGCTCTCTCTGCTCTGTAAGGGTTAAAGCCAATCTTCCCCCTCCCAACTGCAGTTCCCTCATCTTAACTCCTCTTCCCCATGCACTAACCCAGTGGTGGTGAACCTATGGCACGCAGAGCCCTCTGTCGGCACACGAGCCATGTTGCCCCAGCAGCTGACCATTGGATAACAGTATACAGAGGGGCCATGCTCGAAAAGGAGTAGCGACACCAGGCAATGACGGCACGAGCCGCAACTCAACCGAGCTTTCGCATGGCCAGTCAGTGTGCTGCCGAGGGGATATATATATATATATGTGTGGCTGTGAGTTTTTATACATTCGTTTATATTAACACAAGATTTTAGCTTGTGCTGGTGGTCAGTGGAACTTTTCCCCCTTGTGCTGGTGGTCAGTGGAACTTTTCCCCCTTGTGCTGGTGGTGAGTGGAACTTTTCCCCCTTGTGCTGGTGGTGAGTGGAACTTTTCCCCCTTGTGCTGGTGGTGAGTGGAACTGTGCCCCCTTGTGCTGGTGGTGAGTGGAACTGTGCCCCCTTGTGCTGGTGGTGAGTGGAACTGTGCCCCCTTGTGCTGGTGGTGAGTGGAACTGTGCCCCCTTGTGCTGGTGGTGAGTGGAACTGTGCCCCCTTGTGCTGGTGGGGAGTGGAACTGTGCCCCCTTGTGCTGGTGGGGAGTGGAACTGTGCCCCCTTGTGCTGGTGGGGAGTGGAACTGTGCCCCCCTTGTGCTGGTGGGGAGTGGAACTGTGCCCCCCTTGTGCTGGTGGGGAGTGGAACTGTGCCCCCCTTGTGCTGGTGGGGAGTGGAACTGTGCCCCCCTTGTGCTGGTGGTGGGGAGTGGAACTGTGCCCCCCTTGTGCTGGTGGGGAGTGGAACTGTGCCCCCCTTGTGCTGGTGGGGAGTGGAACTGTGCCCCCCTTGTGCTGGTGGGAGTGGAACTGTGCCCCCCTTGTGCTGGTGGGGAGTGGAACTGTGCCCCCCTTGTGCTGGTGGGGAGTGGAACTGTGCCCCCCTTGTGCTGGTGGGGAGTGGAACTTTGCCCCCCTTGTGCTGGTGGCGAGTGGAACTTTGCCCCCCTTGTGCTGGTGGCGAGTGGAACTTTGCCCCCCTTGTGCTGGTGGTGGGTGGGTTTTTTTTTTTTCTAAATTAAAACCTCAGTTTTCAAGTTTAATTGCAGTGTTGGCACTTTGCGATAAATAAGTGGATTTTGGGTTGCAATTTGGGCACTCTGTCTCTAAAATGTTTGCCATCACTGCACTAAACAAATAGAGCTTTTATGTTTTTATTTCCTTTTTTTCTCTAAAAAACTTCTGGTCTGCCCCATGCACATAACTCACCTAGGTGAATGAGGAGCAGTATGCTCACATAGTCCTTTATTGATGAAAGAGGAGGGGACAGGCTTAGCAGTGTGTAAACAGGAGGCCTGTTGGCTGAACCTGGAAAAGAAAAGCTGGCAACCTGCCGATGACATCACACAAGAAAATGGCCTGAGTGGGGGCAGAAGGGATTAGGATTCTTCAGGATATTGCTGGATGGGTGAGTATCTTGATTGTGCAGGACCTGCAGAACTGTAAGCTGAGGTATGTAAAAAAAAAAAAAAAAAAAAAAAAAAAGTGGGGGGGAGGGTTAAGATCCACTGTAAATACTCATTATTGCTTAGGGTACTGTTAAATACTAGTCCCCTGGCAACTGGAGGTCTCCTCTCTGATGCTCCCAAGTTGTGGGTTTTTCCCTCAGCATCCTCCCCTAAGGCCATTTCACACAGGTGGCAGAGGGGTGGTAGACACAGGCTACTGTTCCATGTTTTTACCAACCACCCACTTAAAGCACAACGAAATAGAAAAAAGTGTGAACAGGCAGGTTTTTTTTATTGCAGGAGAGACATGCGATGTGCCTTCTGAAATAAAGTACTCTTACCTGCCTATTCGCAATCTTCTGCAGAATGTACGCTGAGCTGCACACTTCCGGTGTGCTGGGATGATCACTGCTGCATCGGACTAACAAAACCACTGAAGAAAAGCACCTGGAAGAACCTTAAGATGCCAGCGAGGGACCTCAGGGGCATTGGACTGTTAGATCATAGATGTGTATTTGTGCCTTATTTCTGCTTTAAATCCTGGCATTGCAACAAACCGTGTAGTATACATATGCCATGCTGTGATGCTTTGCTTTGTGGATGCGGCAAATTTAACTCAGCTTGCAGTATTTGATGGGGGCACCACCTGTCAAATTAGCCATTGGGTTCAATGTGATCATGATGCAACCACAAGCAAGCCACTTGTTTGTGTTTGTGGTTGCAGTACAAAACCTCCCTTGGCAGCTAGAAAAAAAAAAAAAAAAACAGGCGGCATGACCTCCTTCTGAATGCCTGGCACCCTCTGGAAAGCCGTGCACTGCAGATTTCTTTTCTAAGGGAAATAGAGACAGTCACCCATGTAGAAAGCCCTTTGAATGCCAGACTGCTGGTCCTGCTTTCTTTTTAATGGTATCAGAGCTGAAGCCAACTAACCGAGCACCAGAGGTAGAGGCTTTGGGGGATAGAGGAGAAAGCCTGCAGGAGTGAAGTATAAGGTAAGAAAAACTGCATGTAAAAGCACCCTAGACAAAACGCATTTAACCCTAGCAGTGGGGGGAACCCCACTGCAGGGCAGATTTTGCCAGAGTTCAGCTTTGAGTGCACCCAGAAATAATAGAGTCCCTGTCAGCTTCTAAAAATCAAACATCTCCTGCAAAAGAAGTGGTATTATTCTTCTGTCTGTACTGCTCAGAGGTGATTGGGGCTCCCAGAGACTGGCTATACCACACTTATATACCTGCTGAGAGTTCGCCACTATTAGGAGATCGCTGCAGGGAGAGGTGCGCAGTGACAGAGGAGTCTTGTACATGGAGGATCCAGTTTGGTGATCCTACAGGTGTTTTGGCCCTTGCGGGTTGAAGCAAGGAGGTGAGCGGGTATTTCAGCTATCTGTGGATATCCTTCTGTGGTCACGCACATCCACTATCCACTTGCACGTGTGCTGTCTATATTGGACTACATGGTGTTTAAACACCAATTTGGACATTTTGTTCACTTTTATATATATTTTTTTTATAAGTGTCATGCGTTTATTTTTTATGCATGTTTGTCACACACAGTGTGACACAGTTATTTCACTTTAGTGTTTATTGTCACGTGTGATTTATTTTGTTTCACACAATTTTTTTATGTTTGGTTAGATCTTTGTTTTTGGGGGTATTCTTTGGTTAGTATTGTAATAAGGAATTTTTCCTGGATTTATGTGCATTTTTCTTTCGCCTTCAGCCCTAATTTTGGACAGTGTTTATGTATCAGTCCCAGTTGGACTATTCTATCTTATTGTTCGAGTGTTCACCTTCACCTTTAGATCCTATTTAGGATCAATTCATATATACACCCACTTTGCGAGATCATTGGTATTTATTATTATTATTATACAGTATTTATAAAGCACCAATAGTTCGCTCAGCGCTGTACATTACAAAGGGGGACAGAACATGTGACAGAACAATACCAATACAATGCAAAACATGAGGGGTTGGAGGGCCCTGCTCTTTCGAGCTTACAATCTAGGAGGGAGGGGATAGTGGTACAGGAGGAGATAGCTGTGGGGGATGGAGTGGTAGGAAGAGTGGAGGAGGTCGGCAGGTTAGCAGGGGGTGGGGTAGGCTTCCCTGAAGAGATGGGTTTTCAGGGTGCGCCTAAAGGAGAGGAGAGTAGGTGATAATCTGATGGGTTGGGGCAGGGAGTTCCAGAGGATGGGTGACACCCTGGAGAAGTCCTGGAGGCGGGCATGGGCAGGAGGAGACCAGGGAGCTAGAGAGAAGGAGGTCTTGTGAGGAGCAGAGTGTGCGTGCTGGGTGGTATTTGGATATTAGGTCGGAGATGTAGTTTGGGGCAGTACGGTGGACAGCTTTGTACGTCAGTGTTAGGATTTTGAATTTGATCCGTTGCGCAATCGGAAGCCAGTGGAGGGATTGGCAGAGGGGGGTGGCGGAGACAGAGTGGTTGGAAAGGTGAATGAGTCTGGCAGCCGTATTCAGGATCGACTGAAGCGGGGATAGCCAGCGGTGAGGCAGGCCAGTGAGGAGGGAGTTGCAGTAGTCGAGTCGTGATATGATGAGGGAGTGGATGAGCTGTTTAGTGGTTTCTGGGGTTAGGAATGTGCAGATTTTGGCGATGTTGCGGAGGTGAAGTCTGCACGAGTTTGTTAAAGATTGGACTTGGGGCTGGAAGGATAGGTTGGAGTCCAGAATGACACCAAGTACTCTGGCCTGCGGGGCGGGTTTGATGGTGGCGTTGTTGGACATGATGGAGAACTCAATGGGGGTGGGTTCCGGGCTGGGGGGAAGACAAGAAACTCGGTTTTGGAGAGGTTCAGTTTAAGGAAGTGGAGCGACATCCAGTCTATGTCGCTCAGTAGGTGTGTGATTCGGGCAGAGACCGAGGGGGTGAGGTGGGGGGTTGAGAGATAGATTTGTGTGTCGTCGGCATAGAGGTGGTAGTTGAAGCCGTGAGAGGGTATAGACCCTTTTAGTTATTGGTATCACTTTTGTATCCTGTAGTAGATTATTCACTTTCTTCACAAGAGGATCCCCAGAGGATCAGGTCACTTTCATACACTATTAGTATTTACTTTTGATCTTATGAGGATCAAGTCACTTATAATTTTTTTCGTATATTTATTTTAGAATTTATCACATGTATTTTTGTGTGTTTTATGTCTTGGTATTCACTTATGCATGTTAATATATATTAGATATTTTAGGTAGCCCTACATCATTTATTTCATTACTCTTCTTTATTCAACATTTCTGGGATTGTTAGATGCCTATATGCCTTGCTTTAAAAGATAAGTTCACCTTGGGAACATGTTACATCTTCCATCCGTTTTTAGGGTGGAACATGTAACATGTTCCCGATCCTACAGCTGCCACCCTCTGGGCCCCCCCCATGACAGAAGTACATGCAGAAGTTCCCCATACTAGCTGTCAGTTTTGAAAAATAGCGTGGCCTTGCGAGGCTCCACCCACACGGCCACGTCATTCAATCACAGTGTTCTGTGAATGAATGGATTACAAGTCCCGACAGCCTTGACTGTCGGCTTATAGTCCTCAATGGACTACCACGGCGCTGGGGTGGTCTATTGAGTCTTCCTGTCAGCAAGTATCGGCTTGCCCATACGGGATATACGAACAAGCAGATACACCGACATTGTGCAGGAGACCTGCATGGCATCAGCAATCTGCTGATTGCTGGTGCAATGATTTTCTGGCTCCTAACAAAATAATAAATGCACATTTTTTACCTGCAAAAAAATTGCATTTATTATTTTTTGTGGAAAGGTGAACTTATCCTTTAAGCAGTGATTAAATCTTAAGACATTCCCCCCTCATCAAGTCACTGCTGAGTCCTGTAATGATACATTATGGAAAGTCTCTGTCCACCTTACTTAGAAAACCCAAAGGGGTCATTCACACCCTGCGTATTCCCTGTGTTTAAGTGTGTAGTTTATATGGCTATGAACGCAGCAGTATTTTATACTATGGGCCCCTGCACTCTGGTCTGTTTTTGGTCGTAGCGTTTAGCTATGGAAACCAAAATGAGAAAAATCTGCATTTGCATTCCGTTTGGCTGTATTTTCATACATTTACACGTTCAAATGCAAACATCTGTGCTAATGATTGCATCTGTACTGTGTCAGTGTTAGCCACCTGCACTTTTAAAGGCTATCTCAGGGAGTATGTGGCAAAAGTCATCAGCAACTGTATGATGTGGTCAAGTCATTATGGACCAAAATCCCCTAAACATTGAATCTAATCATTTGTTAAACCTGTACTGTGGAAAATTCAGCCTGCTCTGAAGGCAAATTGGTGTCCGCCCCAATACTAGATAGGTGTACCTAATAAAGTTGCCACTGGATATGTATACATGTGTCTGCCTATCTCTAAAGATTAGATATGAACTTTATTTCTAGGCCAGACAGAATGGTAGACTTGATGGGCAAGAGGACAGCGCAAATCGTTCAGCAAAATCTTGTGTGAGTGACTTCAGTGACCCAGTCTACAAAGAAATTGCAATTGCAAATGGATTTGTGAACAGAATGAGTAAAGATGAACTGAAGACGAAACTTACAGAATTGAAATTAGACACTAGGTAAATAAAATGTTGCATATGTTAAATAGCTTCATAGTTTACATGTCTGAGTAACACTTGAAATTTTAATCACTTGTGAGCATGAGATTTAAAGCGACTTGATTTGCAACAAAAAAAAAAGTCACATTGCATATAAGCAGCAACAGGGTGGGTCTTGGCGCTGAGCCACCAGACATACAGTGGGGCAAAAAAGTATTTAGTCAGCCACCAATTGTGCAAGTTCTCCCACTTAAAAAGATGACAGAGGCCTGTAATTGGCATCATAGGTATACCTCAACTATGAGAGACAAAATGAGAAAATAAATCCAGGCAATCACATTGGCTGATTTGGAAAGAATTTATTTGCAAATTATGGTGGAAAATAAGTATTTGGTCAATATCAAAAGTTCATCTCAATACTTTGTTATATATCCTTTGTTGGCAATGACAGAGGTCAAACGTTTCCTGTAAGTCTTCACAAGGTTGGCACACACTGTTGCTGGTATGTTGGCCCATTCCTCCATGCAGATCTCCTCTAGAGCAGTGATGTTTTGGGGCTGTCGCTGGGCAACACGGACTTTCAACTCCCTCCAAAGGTTTTCTATGGGGTTGAGATCTGGAGACTGGTTAGGCCACTCCAGGACCTTGAAATGCTTCTTACAAAGCCACTCCTTCATTGCCCGGGTGGTATGTTTGGGATCATTGTCATGTTGGAAGAATCAGCCACGTTTCATCTTCAATGCCCTTGCTGATGGAAGGAGGGTTGCACTCAAAATCTCCCGATACATGGCCCCATTCATTCTGTCCTGTACATGGATCAGTCGTCCTGGTCCCTTTGCGGAGAAACAGCCCCAAAGCATGATGTTGCCACCCCAATGCTTCAAGTAGGTATGGTGTTCTTTGGATGCAACTCAGCATTCTCTCTCCTCCAAACACGACGAGTTGTGTTTCTACCAAACAGTTCTATTTTGGTTTCATATGACATTCTCCAGTCCTCTTCTGGATCATCCAAATGCTCTCTAGAAAACTTCAGACGGGCCCGGACATGTACTGGCTTAAGCAGGGGGACACGTCTGGCACTGCAGGATCTGAGTCCCTGGCGGCGTAGTGTGTTACTGATGGTAGCCTTTGTTACGTTGGTCCCAGCTCTCTGCAGGTCATTCACTAGGTCCCCCCGTGTGGTCCTGGGATTTTTGCTCACCGTTCTTGTGATCATTTTGACCCCACGGGGTGAGATCTTGCATGGAGCCCCAGATCGAGGGAGATTATCAGTGGTCTTGTATGTCTTCCATTTTCTTATTGTTGCTCCCACAGTTGATTTGTTCACACCAAGCTGCTTGCCTATTGCAGATTCAGTCTTCCCAGCCTGGTGCAGGTCTACAATTTTGTTTCTGGTGTCCTTCGACAGCTCTTTGGTCTTCACCATAGTGGAGTTTGGAGTGTGACTGTTTGAGGTTGTGGACAGGTGTCTTTTATACTGATAACAAGTTCAAACAGGTGCCATTGATACAGGTAATGAGTGCAGGACAGAGGAGCCTCTTAAAGAAGAAGGTACAGGTCTTTGAGAGCCAGAAATCTTGCTTGTTTGTAGGTGACCAAATACTTATTTTCCACCATAATTTGCAAATAAATTCTTTCCAAATCAGCCAATGTGATTGTCTGGATTTGTTTTCTCATTTTGTCTCTCATAGTTGAGGCCTACCTATGATGCCAATTACAGGCCTCTCTCATCTTTTTAAGTGGGAGAACTTGCACAGTTGGTGGCTGACTAAATACTTTTTTGCCCCACTGTACGTATCCATAGAGAAGCGCACTTCTAAGCATACAGTGCGTTTTTTGCTTGCTCCTAGCTTCTGACCATGTGACTGCTGTGAGCAGCCTATCACATCGCTCACATGATTAGCCATGCTCAACTAACAAGTTGAGATAATAGTTCAGTGTGTAAAATCTTAGCTTGAGCACAGCAACATGACACTGAATGATATTACTGCATTAAGAAGATCTCTCACAGACAGAAGATCACAGTTCCTTCCTTTTCTATTCTTCAGGCCTATTGAGGTATCATGTTTTTATCAATGTTCTCTTTTTTTCTTATTACAGAGGAGTGAAGGATGTTCTCAGGAAACGCCTAAAGAATTACTATAAGAAGCAGAAACTCACTCATATTTTGTCAAAGGACTGCAGTGAGACTGATACATATTATGATTATATCTGTATAATTGATTTTGAAGCCACCTGTGAAGATGGTAATACACCAGATTACGTCCATGAGATTATAGAGTTCCCCATTGTCTTGCTGAACACAAGGACTTTAGAAATTGTGAGTTTAACTAGTTTCTGGTGGATGTGTTACCCTTACATAAGCTTTTTATGTTCATGTTTTGTTTTGTGGAATGCTACCCTGATCCTGTTCTATAAGCACTATTCCTATGGAGTGCTGGCCAAAAAAAGTGGTTGTAAAGGCTCAAGGTTTTTTTACCTTCATGCATTCTATGCATGAAGATAAAAAAACCTGTGTGCAACAGTGCCCCCAGCCCCCCCAATACTTACCTGAGCCTCATCGTGATCCTGCAATGTGAACAGCTCCCCATTGGCTGACACAGCTGCTGTCAATCACAGCCAGTCAGCCACTGAGGAGAGAGAGAGGAGGTGGGGCCAAGCTGCGGCTCCATGTGTGAGTGGACACATGGAGCAACGGGTGCCCCATAGCAAGCTGCATGCTGTGGGGGCACCCGACAGGAACGAGGGGCCAGGAGAGCCTGCGGGAGACCCAAGAAGAGGAGGATCCAGGCTGCTCTGCAAAACCACTGCACACAGCAGGTAAGTATAGCATGTTTGTTATTTATATAAAATATATGTTATATATTAAAAAAAACACAAAACTTTTAGAGTCGCTTTAATATTTAGCCCAACCTTGGCATGGACTTGTGCTCCCAGAGCACATCTTAGTGCTGCCAGAAAATATTTCTGCTAGTCAGTTAATATAAGGTAAATGACCATTCTACTTTGACCATTAAATGTGCACCTCATGGTTTTCATATATTAAGTGAATCAATTGTTCTGTGCATCCAGTATCCACATAAGTAGCAATAGGGACTGACATCAGTCTGCTTTTTAAAGGGCAGCTATCTCTGTTTTCACCCCAATATGTATCGTAGTATACCAATGTATGTACAATAGAGTAGAATGCTTAGTTACTTAAATGCCACCTCTTTCTTTTTAATTGTCAACTTTGAAATTTTGCTTGGCAGTGGTTTAAAGTGCCCCCCCCCCCATAGGAAATGTGCTTCCCACTCCAGTACTCTATGCTGGCCAAGGTTCAGTAAGACAGTCAGACTTGTATAGCAAAAATGTATTATACCAGGTTGGCAATATGAAGGCTCATTAGCAGACTCCTTAGCAAATATCTTGCAGTGTTCTTCTAGGAAGCTAGAGTGGTTCTAAAGTCAAACTATATTACCATAATGAACTCCCTGCATGAATTGAGGTAAAAATAACAACCGTGTGATGTTTTTAAAGTGGCATGATTTACTTTGCATCTTTCTTTTGTATCTTATAGCAATAACATTGTATAGGTTAAACCAAAATCCTTGTTACATTGAATTAAAAGCATCCCACCTCTAAAACCCACTTTTAATCTACAATACACCTAAAGAGCCTATTATTGACAATTTTTATTAGGCTTGCTTTTAACAGGATTTTGGATATTAAGAATTTTGGCTTAAACTGTTCAACATGCAAAAGGATGCAAGATGTAAGCAATGTCACTTTAGGTTGTTAACACTGGGAGGCTGTGGTGTTCTGATCTCACGATCACTGAATCCTTTTCACAGCAGGCGCATTATAGGGAGCCCGACCGATTGCAAACCGTGCCCGAGAGCTGTCAGTAATAGGTCAGTCACTTTTCTGGGAGCGTGCAGTGAGTGCATAGCCCTGTGGATGCATATGTGCATTACACAGATGGCAAACATTTAAGAAAAAGATTGATGAGTAAATAGGCCAGTTGTACATACATACAGTACTTCTATCATTGACTTCTAGCCTGTATGATTAAGCTAATTACAGCTTAAAACGCTTCAAGAAGTAATAGCTAAGTTCTGGTGGTGAGGTGACACAGACCAATATTTTTTTTCTTTTTAATCCAGAAAAAAATGATCCAGTGGATATGTGTCTTTCACTTTATCAGTGTTTCCAAGAGGAGTGACCAGACCCTGTTAGCCTACACATGTGGCCAATGGTGGATAACCAGGAGTCCACCTAGAGCAGCATTGCCTGTGGTTCTTTTTGCTAGAAATATAACTTTTTTTTTTTTTTTCTGTCATGATGAGCTTGATCTCTGGATCTGCTAATTGTTTTGAGAAGCATTTTTAACTGAATTAAACAAAGTTGTTTTCAATTTCATGAATTGATTTATGTTACCATACAGAATCATGTTTCCATAATTTGGTTTCTCTCTGTTGTATGATATTGTATCTGATATTTTACTATTCTAATACAGGGCTGCATCCACTTTTGTTGAGAAAAACATTCCCCTCTGGGTGATCCATATACATTGCAGGGTTTTTAACAAACTTTGTTGCAAATCCCTACCTTTTTGTTATTCTGAAGAAATAGCTGCTTGTCTGTGCCCATGTGCAAAGTGATTGTGAATGGGAGTGATTTTATAATTATTGGGGTCTGCATACCCTTAGATGTGATTTCCTTTTGGGAGTAGCTCCCCAAAAATATTTTTGTTGCAGGGGATGCCCAAATCTGACTTGTATATATTTTTTTCTTGTTTTAACAGTAACCAATCTGATTTGGGTCTTAGTACAGACTTTTGTGAAAATAAGCCAATCACACAAGCACAAAGTAAAGTTTCTGGGGGCGTTTTGTATACCATCTGTGTACAGAACGCCACCAGGTTGCCATATTGCATTTTACAGAAAATTACAGTGTTGCCTACAACCACTGCCCACCACTGGGTGTTCTTGTTATGGTCGTTGGGACAGTTAGATTAACCACTTGCCGTCCGCCTGCTGTTTATAAACAGCAGGACGGTGGCACTCCAGGGGCAGGTTGCAGTTCATAAACGGCACCCACAATTTCTAGCTGTGCACGCTCCCTCTGGACACAGTGAAACACCGATCGTCGGCCAGGACCTCTGTACGAGGTCCCGATCGTGTGATCACTGATAGGCCAATCAGTGATCACATGCAAAGTAGTAAGCAAGATGTCACTTGTGACATCATTGCTTACTACGTGTGAAATCTGTGAATGATCACAGAGGTCACATGGTACAAGGCTATTCACAACAGCCTTGTACCATGTGACAAGCTGTGACCAATCACAGCTCACTCAGTATTTCTCAATGGCTGCAAGAAATGCAGCCAGAGAGAAAGAGAAATGATTGCTTTTACATCCTATATGGGTGTAAAAGCAATCGCTGTAAAAAAAAAAAAAAAAAATCTTCATCACCCCCCATAAGTAGTACAGTGTCACCATGGTGACACTACTGCTAGGGTGACAGTATGTAAAAAAAAACAAATAATATAAAAAAATAAATGTAAAAAAATGGTTAAAAATTATAATTTTTGGTTATACACTAATTTGGCTTATTTTTGTTTTACTAAAAAGATAACGGAATACATTTCGGCCAAAATTTATGATGAAAGATTATTTATTTGCAAATTTTATAAGAAAACACTTTTTTTCAAAATCTTTGGACTTTCATTTACATAGCAAAAAAAAAATAAAAATCCCAGCAGTGAATAAATACCACCAAAATAAAGCTTTATCTGTCTCAAAAAAATGGTAAAAAAATTAATATGGGTACAGTGTTGCATGACCGCGCAATTGTCATTCAAATTGTGATAGTGCTGAAAGCTGAAAATTGCCTTGGTCAGGAAGGGGGTAAAAGTGTCCGGACAGGAAGTGGTTAACAGTAAAATTGGAGTTGTGATGACGTTTCCTTTAATGAATAACAACTTTTTTTTTTTTTTTTTTCTTCTCTAGGAAGATACTTTTCAGCGGTATGTGAGGCCAGAAATCAAATCACAACTTTCACAGTTCTGCATTAATCTTACTGGAATTACTCAGGTAAAACTGTGAAAGAAACTAGGAACATTCTTATCTTAAACAGAGTGCTGTCCCAGTATGACACCTACGGTGCCTTGAAAGTTTTCATACCCCTTGAAATTTTCCACATTTTGTCATGTTACAATCAAAAACGTAAATGTATTTTATTGGGGTTTTATGTGATAGGCCAACATAAAGTGGCACATAATTGTAAAGTGGAAGGAAAATGATAAATGGTTTTCAAAATTGTTTACAAATATCTGAAAAGTTTGGCGGGCATTTGTATTCAGCCCCCCAGAGTCAATACTTTGTAGAACCACCTTTTGCTGCAATTACAGCTACAGGTCTTTTTGGGTATGTATCTACCAGCTTTGCACATCTAGAGAGGGACATTTTTGCCCATTCTTCTTTGCAAGATAGCTCAAGCTCTTTCAGATTGGATGGAGAGTGTGGCAAGACTTGAAAATTGCTGTTCACAGATTCTCAATTGGATTTAGGTCTGGACTTTGACTGGGCCATTCTAACACATGAATATGCTTTGATCTAAACTGAAAAGCAATTTTCAAGTCTTGCCACAGATCCTCAATTGGATTTGGCACTACTCCCTGGTCTGTCATCAATAAAACTCCCACCCCATTCTGCCAGCACTACAGTGACCCTGCTCTCCCCCCCCCCCCCCCTCTCGGTTAACCCCCCAACTACTGCTGTGCTTGCACACATCCCAAACCTTGTTCATAACACTCTGCCACCCTTTCCTTTCTCAACATCAACCCACATACAGACTCGTTCTAACCACTGCATCTCACCCCCCCATCCGCCTCACAACCATGCCTGAAAAATATTTCAGTATTATTATTCAATAATCAATGTTGCGTTTAATCTACAGGATGTTATAGACCAAGCAGATACATTTCCTGTAGTTCTTCAAAGTGTTGTCGATTGGATGAGAGAAAAAGAGCTGGGCACTAAATACAAGTATGCTCTACTGACGGATGGGTAAGATTCTAATATTGTCGCTTTTTCATTCATATCATCATGAGTGTTATAATTGTGGTTAAAGAATACCAGGGACAATGTGATAATCCATTTTAAACATTTCAGGCTTTTTGAAGAATGCAAATGTTCCTATGCAATATATAGAATAATATGGTGCAGCGCTACCCCAAACAGTACCATAATCCCACACTAGCTTATCCCAAAATAGCAGAAAAAACAATAAATGATGTAATAAGTCAATAAACAATAATAGAATAAATTGCACAAAAATGGTTAAATCATCCAAAATGGCTCATATCAAACTTATATGTGACTATTAATTGCACCCAGTGTAATTCAGTGAATAAGTAAACCAATCACTCACAGATCATAAAATGAACTGATCCACTAAGGGATCCATAGTGAGAAAGAAAGTGAATAAATACTGTAAACATAAAGAAACGCCAGTGAAAGAAATAATAAGTAAAAAAGTCCTAACAGGATATTATGAATAATTAAAAATTGTGACAATTTTGAATCCCTAAATGTGGGATCGATTATCACGGTGATAAAAATGGTGACCACAGAGTCTGTAAATTCGCCAAATATAAGTGAAAATTTAGTGAAAAAAAATCTGTTAATCCCAAAATGTCACTATTGTGTGATATTTAATCCCACAAGTGCAGTGATTAGAAGACAAAATATAATGAAGAATAAATAAACATTATTAAAGTGATATCACAAAAAAATATAAAAAAAAACTCTCTTTAAAGTGTCACATAAAATTAGTCCAGAAAATTAAATTACAGTTCAAAGGTGCGTAAAACACCAAATAATAATCCAACGACTGCAGAAAGTGCAGGTGATATAGTGAATATGCATGACAACCAATAGGAAATAATCCATAAATGGCTGAATTGCCCCCTCACCTCCTTGAAGCGACCCAAAAGGGCCAAAACGCCTGTTAGAAAACAACAGTGACCGTCCACGGTCTGGTCCCCCCTTCAAGGATAATATCCGTCCACAGCGGTGAGATCCCCATTTACGGGTTAATGGAAGGAGCAGCAGGATCCCCCTCAGGGATGATTTAGTATGATACAGCCAGCTCACATCAAAAGGTCAGGATAAAGACAGAGATCTCACATAGTGTAAATCTTTTTAATGTTACTTAAAAACATGTATAGCCAAATGCCCACTCACTTTTTTCAAAGAATAAAACAAGCTGAAAAATCTCATGCTATGGGTGTACTTGCATGGGCATTTTTGGGTGTAGCAAGATGGCGTCCACATCGGAAATACGTCACCATGTTCCTATGCGTTACGTCCCATTACACGTGACTTCCTCAGGGTAACGTGACTGGTGACATGGCTTTATATAGGGAGTCTATCTGCCAATCAAAGGAAGAAAGACGGACCTCCAGCAGCCATGTTATTGAGGTCCTGCCTTGAGGACAAGCTATGTAATGCTCCTGCAACACTAAAAACCTCCGGCAGCCATACTAAAAAAAGTCTGATTATATAAATATATATTACTGCACTCCTATTGCTCCAATTGGCATTACTTTTTATATAAATGGATAACTTATTAAAAACGGGGCATATGTAGCTGCACAGATGCACCTCTAACAATCTTTATTAAAAATAGAAATAACGTTTCTCTTCAGTTATAAACGCATAAAAGCATATTCTACTAATATACAGGGAAGATAATACTTATTATGGCTATGTGGAGACTTTTTATTAAAAAATATATATATAACCCCATAATGTAAACAAAAAATAGCGATATATATGCTAAACAGACCATATACATCTGCCAATAACTTAAAAATACTACTAAAATTCCACTATACGCTAAAACCCCAATGATCAAACTAAGAAGAGAGAGAGGGGAGAAGGAACTACCTCATTAATTATATTTGATATGTGGTTTGGTTTGACGAATAAGGTTTAGTGTTATATTCAAATTATATATGGATGCGTTGTAGAGGTGCGTTATGAATATGCATAAATAAACTCACACAACCGTAACATCAGTATACATATTAATATTATAAAATATGTAAAATAATATAAAAAACCTTCAATTTTACAATGATCTATATATCTCAAGTAACAGGCAAGTACCAATATCAAAATAGAATAATAATACAATTTAAAAGCAACATTAAAAGTATAACTTTGATCATAAATATAACGTTATACATTAAAGGAGGACCAGATAAATGCAAAAATCACAAATAAAACAGTTAAGATCACATTCAACATTCAAACCTCTAGGTGCCTGCGTTTGCATGGAGAAAATCCATCTGGATTCCGCTTGACTTAAAGTGCGGACCTTATTACTTCCTTTCCAGTGGGTTTTATATTTTTCTATACCCCAAAGAAGTAAGGAGGAAGGGTCCCTATTGTGATATATTGAGAAGTGTTTGGAAACCCTATGCTTGGGGAAATTATGAACATGTTCCGGAAGACGTTTCCATAGTGGTCTCTTAGTCCTTCCTACATATTGTAGACCACACTTACATTGAAGTGCATATACCATGTCCTCTGTTCTGCAAGAGATGAAATCTTTCATTTGGAACTCAATTCCATTGCTATGGGAAGAAAAATTACTTCACTTAGAGTTATGCCCTTTTGTAGCCTTACAGGCATAACATTTCTTACAAGGGAAAAACCTTTCTGATCTAGAAACGTGACATGTTTGTTTATTATAGTTCGGTCCAGGACATTTTTTTTTTTTACCAGTTTAGTTCTTAAAGTAGGGGCCCACCTATAAATACATTTTGGGCTAACTGGTAATAAGCCTGTTAATGTAATGTCTGCCTTAAGTAGGGGCCAGTGTTTCTTAAAAATATTTTCTATTTTTTTTTTAATTTTCTATCTTTTTATAGTGCACATTTAAATCTTAAGATCGCTAATTGGTCCTCAAATTCATCTTTTCTAATTTTGTCACTTATAAGTGTTGTTCGGTCCATACTGACAACTTTCTGTATTGCTCCTTCTATCTGGTCCTGGGGGTAACCCTTGTTTATAAAACGTTGACCAATGGTATTAACTTGCTCCATATAGTCTTCCTTAGAGGAACAATTTCTCCTTAATCTGACACATTGTCCCTTAGGAATATTTAATAGCCATGGGGGATAGTGGCAACTATTGATGGGGGATATAACCATTCCTATCAACCCTTTTAAAAAATGTTTTGGTGGTAATTTGTCCTTTGATTGTAATAGTTAGATCCAAGACTGTAATATGTAAATTATTATATTCTCAGAAGAATTTAATGTTTCTAATATCATTATGTCTGTTAAGAAAATCCAGTAAGGCTCCCTCTTCATCTTCCCACACTATAATGACATGATCAATATACCTTTTTATATATTCTTAAACCTTCTGGGGGGTGTTCATAAACTGCCTCCTTCTTCCAATATGCCTTAAAGAGATTTGCAACACTCAGAGCAAAGCGTGCTCCCATGGCAACCCCTTTGATTTGGCGGCAAAATTGTTGATTGTGCCAAAAATAATGTGTTAAGCAAAAGTCTAGACAATCTATCAAAAACTTACTCTGGGACCAATATTTCATATTTATCTGAATATTTTTTATTCCTGAACATTCCAAAGAGCTATGCATTCCTTTTAATTGGTGACCTAAGTTTTTTTTTTTATTTCACAAAAATAGTATGAATAATATGCCACCAAATGATGTGGCTTAGTATTTTGCTGAGTTTTAATCTACTTAACCCACGAGTCCATTTTTTTTACTATGTAAATATTGTTTTCGTGATCCTGCAGGTCTTGGGACATGAGTAAGTTCTTAAATATGCAGTGCCGTGTTAGTCGGATTAAATACCCTCGCTTTGCAAAGAAGTGGATCAACATTCGCAAGTGTTATGGCAATTTTTATAAGGTTAGTACAGTGTTGATTTCGACTGGAGAAATACTGCTATTCCTGTTGTCCCTTGCTCTGGCTGTTGGAAATTTTGCATGCATGTTCGCTAATAATTTTCATAGGGCTATATCCTATTGATGTTTTAATTCTAAAGCTGGGGCTGCAAATGAGATTTAAAGTGGTTGTTAACTTCAGGCATAAAATCTGAACAAAGCACATATTTCTATAGTGTTTACTAGCCTCTCTCCAAAGCACTAAGTGTCATTTCTCACTTGTGTACCACCTGATGCTAATCACTTCACTCGGTGTAGGTAAAGGCTTACAATAGGGATGCACCGATACCCTTTTCTTTTTTTTTTTTTTTTTTTCCATCATCACGGAGTAAGAGTACCACCGATACTTTCAGTCAAGTACTTAACGATACCTATTACCGATACTTTGCAGTGCAATTTGCATTGATAAAAATTGTATGGACGCAAATTGCACCGCAAAGAATAGCATGCAGTTTGAACAGGAATGCGCTTCCTGTTCAAATAGCATGCAGTTTCTCCACTGCTTCTGTGTGAACTCAGGCTGTCCTAGCCTGAGCTCACACAGTACCAAATTAAAAAAGAAAAAAGCGCCACTTACAAAAAACACCAAAATGTCAGCAGCATATCCCACCCAAAATAAATTTTGCCAACAATAATCCGAATTAAAAGGTATGCGCTAATAACAAACTTATACAAAAGTGTATATCATCATCCAAAAAACATTAGTGTTTTAAATAAATAATTATAGTGTCCAAACATAAATTAGTGTCCAAAAAATATATATATATCTTCAGTGACTTGAACCAATTGTGAAAAATCCACTACCAAAGGAGATTAAATGAACTCACCAGAGCTAATGGCTGATCAAATTATAAACCAGCAACAGCGCTTGTGCTCTGGGAGCAATGAACCCAATGTCCAAATAGATATGGTGATGTTTCAGATACTTCCAGATAATAATAATCACAGACAAACAACTTTGCAGCCCAAGCTCTTATGATGAACTTCTCCACTCTTTCTCATACCTCCATGAGAGCATGCAGTACACTCAGGGACAAAAAAGAGAACATAATGGTGCAATACGTTTTTTTCATTTATCTCTTTAATAAAAAAGGTATAAGGAAACTCACAAACAAGGTGTCCAACAGACACCAGCTTCAGTCGCAAAAAAGGGTTTTATTAAAGAGATAAATGAAAAAAAAACGTATTGCACCATTATGTTCTCTTTTTTGTCCCTGAGTGTACTGCATGCTCTCATGGAGGTATGAGAAAGAGTGGAGAAGTTCATCATAAGAGCTTGGGCTGCAAAGTTGTTTGTCTGTGATTATTATTATCTGGAAGTATCTGAAACATCACCATATCTATTTGGACATCGGATTCATTGCTCCCAGAGCACAAGCGCTGTTGCTGGTTTATAATCTGACCAGCCATTAGCTCTGGTGAGTTCATTTAATCTCCTTTGGTGGTGGATTTTTCACAATTGGCTCAAGTCACTGAGGATATATATTTTTTTTTTGGACACTAATTTATGTTTGGACACTATAATTATTTATTTAAAACACTAATGTTTTTTGGATGATGATATACACTTTTGTATGAGTTCACGCAGAAACGGTGCAGGGAGGTTTTTCCCACAGTGGAGAGTGGGGATGTATACCTGGTGGCAGATACTCCATATTTTCAGTGTGTAGGAGAGAAAGCAGCGGGGATTTGAAATCCCTGACAATTTCTCTCCTCTCCTTGCAGGAATGACAGTTCGAGCTAGAGGGCTTTTGATTGGTCCGCACCGTTTCATGGATGTTGTTGACCAGTCAGATGCCGTCTAGCCTGTACCATCATTCCTACAAGGAGAAGAGTCGCTTCGCAGGTCTGGAGATTTGAAATCCCTGCAGCTTTTCCTCCTCTCCTTGCAGTGATGATGGTACAGACTAGAAGGCATTTGAATGTTCAGCAACGTCCATGTGACAGTGCTGACCAATCAAAAGCCCTCTAGCCCGAGCTGTCATCCCTGCAAGAGAGAGGAGAGAAAGCGACAGGGTTTTCAAATCCCCACTACTTTCTATCCTCTCCTACCGCTGAGAATGTGGACCATCTGCTTCCATAGTATACACCCACTCGAATAATTGCCATTTGCTTAATGCTGGAAAGATTAGACCTGGTTTTTTATTATGATAGCATTGTGCAATTCAAGGAACCCTTTTATCATAGCAACGTGGAATCTGACTTCCTTCCAAAAATGTTAGTTGCTTGGCTGCAGTTACGATTCTCTTTGCATATTATTTTCACATTAGAGACCCTAAAGTAGACAAAGGCTTCTGACGTAATTGTACCTTTTTGTATACATATTTAGTCATATTGCCAATAAAATTGGCATTGTTTTTTTTTTTTTTTTTTTTTTTTTTTTTTTTTTCCTATGCGTGATGGTTTTCACTCGCTGCTCCATATAATGATATAAAGATTTTGTAAGAACAATTATGTATTAAAGTATATTTGGAAAAGTGTGTGAAGAAAGTTTGGAAGTGTTTTGATGATCAGGTCATATATTTTTTTTGCAGGTTCCAAGGAATCAGACAAGGTTAACAATGATGCTGGAAAAGCTGGGTCTGAGTTACATTGGACGTCTTCACTGTGGTCTGGATGACTCAAAGAACATTGCTAGAATAGCTACCCGTATGCTTCAAGATGGCTGTGAACTTCGAGTGAATGAAAGAATGCACACAGGACAGCTAATGACTGTGTCGAGTTCCCTGCCATTTGAAGGGGCTGCAGTTCCTCAGAATCCACAGTTTAAAAATTAACCTTTTTGTTTTCTGTTAAAGTTTTAGGAGCACTTTAAAATGGTTTTTAAAAACTTTTTGCTTTCAATGTATAGACTTGCAAACTGTAAGTGCCATGATGGCTTTTTAATATTCTGGTAATCATGGCCAAGGATTATTGGTTTCAGTAATAAAAAATGTAAATTCCAGTTCATAAACCTTAGTAAAGATTGGCCTTTAGTAACAGTTTTAGACACATGTGAAGGGCACGTCACAAAAATATATTTAAAATGCATATTTTATAGGAAACAACTTTTAAAGCGGTACTCCAGGGAAAGTAGACTTGCCATCTTGCAGTGGGGTTGCCCCTGCACTGCAAGGGTTAAAAGAGAAGTATGGACTTTTAAGGACATTGATCTGGTGCTGCAGCTGTCCCCTTCCACCTCTGCAGTGAGAACTGAATGATCAAAGACTGCTGATCACTCAGTTCTTCCCTCTGCTCTGAGCAGAGAGCCATGACTATCAGTCACCAGCTCTCTGCTCGCTCCTCCAGCGCTCTCTGGAGTGCCAGGCTATGGAGGGGAGGGGCTGGCTCAGGCTTTCAGCGGATTTAAAATTGGGATCTTTGTAGAGCCTGGACTGGCTGAGTGATGTCAGGGGACAGCAGGCTTCAGCCCACTGTTGGCTGAAAAGGGTCACAGGATTACAGAGCAAAGTACAGAAGTATAGCCAAAATAGCTTTGGCTCTGCTTTTCCTTTAAAGTGACTTTAAACTATATCTTTATTGTCCAGAAAATAAATCCATACACATTGCCTACCAAATGACCTATTCTGTTTTTCATTAAATTATTACTAGCTGTGTTTTTCTGCCTCCTGACCTTCTTTTCCCTCTCTCTTTTTTGTTTGGATGAGCAGTGCTTGATTGTTGTGGTCATGAACACTGTGATTAGTGTACAGAACCAATAGAACATAGTACCTATTTCTTCTCTTTCAAGCGTGCAAGAATGTAGCTACATTCCTACATACAGTGGGACCATAGAGAACAATGGAGCAGGATGAGAGAGATAGAAGTTTCTAATTTGAGTTAAGAATACATACCTGAATGGAATTTATTTTTTTTCCAGTGTTTAGTGTCGCTTTACATCTGTAGGGGGAGGCGGACCGGACCGAAAGAAGCAGTTTTGCTTACCTGATCATCCACACTTCTCCGCTAGGCTTTGGTGATCAGATGTCCCTAATGTCATCAAGACTTATGCAAGGCCAAAAGCCTTGCATTGGGTATGAGGACAATGAGGAACAGTCCACTGCCACAGCATACGATACGTAGGCATTTAACCTTCACAGTACAGGTACAACCCCACTGCAAGGGAAGATTTTAACTTTTTCTGTAGTAACATTTTTTCTGTAGTTGGGCTTTAAATCTTTTCCACTGCAGCTAGTTTCCTGTGAAGTACAATCCCTGGCAAAAAGTATGGAATCACCACTCTTGGAAAAAGTTCATTTAATTGTGTAGAAAAAAAAAAACTAATTACAGACATTCCTGAAAGCCATTTTCATTTCATTCCAACTTTCTGGCTTTAAGAAACACACATAAAAAAGAGGGAAAACTGTAGTCAGTTGCAACTGTTTTTGCAGATCATGCACAGGAAAAAATATGGAATCATTCAATTCTGAGGAAAATATTATGGAATCATGAAAAATAACTACAGTACACCACTAGTACTTTGTTGCACCACCTCTGGCTTTTATAACAGCTTGAATTATCTGCTGCATAGATTTAACCATCGACAAACCATATTCTTCGTCATTCCGGCTCCATATTTCTCTTAGTGCGGTTGCCAGATCAGCTTTGCAGGTTGGAGCCTTGTCATGGACCATTTTCTTTCATTTCCATCATAGATTTTCAGTTGTATAGAGGTCCGGACTATTTGCAGACCGTGCCATTGACATTATACAGTGGATATAAAAAGTCTACACACCCCTGTTAAACTGTCAGGTTTCTGTGATGTAAAAAAAATGAGACCAGGATAAAACATTACAGAACTTTTTTCCATGTTTAATGTGACCTATAAACTGTACAACTCAGTTGAACAACAAACTGAAATCTTTTAGGTGGAGGGAAGTAATAATAAAAAACTAAAATAATATGGTTGCATAAGTGTGCACACCCTTAAATACTTTTGTTGAAGCACCTTTTGATTTACTTCCAGCACTCAGTCTTTTTGGGTATGAGTCTATCAGCCTGGTACATCTTGACTTGGCAATATTTGTCCATTCTTCCTTGCAAAAACACTCCAAATCTGTCAGATTGTGAGGGCATCTCTTGTGCACAGCCCTCTTGCAGATCACCCCACAGATTTTTGATTAGATTCAGGTCTGGGCTCTGTCTGGGCCATTCCAAAACTGTAATATTCTTGTAAAGCCATTCCTTTGTTGATTTGGATGTATGCTTTGGGTCATTGTCATGCTTAAAGATGAAGTTCCTCCTCATGTTCTGCTTTCTAGCAAACGCCAATATGTGCCAATATTGACTGGTATTTGGAACTGTTCATAATTCTCTTTACCTTGACCTAAGGCCCCAGTTCTAGCTGAAGAAAAACAGCCCCAAAGCATGATGCTGCCACCACCACCATGCTTCACTGTGGGTATGGTGTTCTTTTGGTGATGTGCAGGGTTGTTTTTGTGCCAAACATATCTTTTGGAATTATGGCCAATAAATTCAACCTTGGTTTCATCAGACCATAACACATTTTCCCATATGCTTTTGAGAGACTTCAGATGTGTTTTTGCAAAATTTAGCCAGGCTTGGATGTTTTTCTTCATAAGGGCTTCTGTCTTGCCACTTTACCCCATAGCCCAGACATATGAAGAAAATTGTTGTTACATGTACCACACAGCCAGTGCTTGCCAGATATTCCTTCAGCTTCTCTAATGTTCCTGTAGGCCTCTTAGCAGCCTCCAGACCAGTTTTTTTCTTTTCTTCTCCTGACTGATACCTTTTAACAATGAGATCCCTCTGATGCTTTGAAAGCTCTCTGCGGACCATGGCTTTTGCTGTAGGATGCGACTAAGAAAATGTCAGGAAAGACCTACTAGAACAGCTGAACTTTATTTATGATTAATCAGAGGCACTGTAAATGACGGCAGGTGTGTACTGACCTATTTAACATGATTTTGATTGCTTAATTCTGAACACAGCTACATCCCCAGTTATAAGAGGGTGTGCACACTTATGGAACCACATTATTTTAGTTTTTTATGTTCGTTATTCAGTTCTGCATTGATTTATCTTTGTGTCACTTTTTTCCATCACAGAAACCTGATATTTTAACGGGTGTGTAGACTTTGTATGTCATGTCTTTCTTGAAGGAAAGTTTTCACAGCTTTTGCCCTATGGCAAGATGCATTATCATCCTGAAAAATTATGTCATTGTCATCACCAAACATCCTTTTGATTGATGGAATAAGAAAAGTGTCGAAAATTTCAATATAAACGTGTGCATTTATTGAAGATTTAATAACTGCCATCTGCCCTGTACCTTTACCTGACATGCAAATTTCCACAATCCTTGATGATATGCAATTGCATGTTTTCTTCAGGCATTCGTCTTTACATTTCATTGGACCAGCACCAAACAAATTTTCCAGCATCATCACCCTGCCCAGTGCAGATTCGTGATTCATCACTGAATATAACTTTCATCCAGTCATCCACAGTCCAAGATTGCTTTTGTTTAGCCCACTGTAACCTTGTTTTTTTTTTCTGTCTAGGTGTTGATGGTTTTTGTTTGCCCTTTCTGTATGTAAATCCCATTTCCTTTGGGCGATGTCTTACCGTTCGGTCACAGACATTGAGTCCAGTTGCTGCCCATTTGTTCCTCATTTGTTATGTTATGCATTTTCTGTTTTCAAGGCATATTGCTTTAACCTCCCTGGCGGTATGATCATGTCAGGAATTTTGTGCTGAAAGCGGTACCATTTTTTTGCATGGAAATATGTAGTTTTTAATTGTAGGCTGTAATTTTTAGGAATAACTCACTGAAATCTATCCGAAAAAGAGTCTATTAAACATTCCGGATATGATAAAACTTGAAACACTAAATCATAAATTATAGTTTAATAAATCATAAAAAAAATAATAATATAATAATAATAAATTTAATTCAATAATATAATCAAACCAAAAACACTGAAATTTGAAATACAGAGGCAAATTCGCACATCGCTGAGCAAAGTCGCAAAATCGTTTTCAGTGTCTGATGACGCATTTCCCCACAAATCATTATCACTCAATTCTGCAAGTGGTTCTGATTTACTATCGCTGTTCTAAAACCGCTTTTGATGTAAAGGGATGCTTTTTGGCCGCCATGGACTTTTCTAAGTTTCCAGGCAGAAAGAACAGTCAAAATGCAGGCAGGGCACAGGACAAAGCAGTGGGGACAAAATGTATGTGAAATGCAGTGAAAAAGCAATGACAGCAAAAATGTCATTTTTTAAAAATTTCAAATTTCCCGCCGGTTTCCCGCGCCCGAACGTTCCGACGTCACGGGGACCGGAACACGGAAGTCAGATGCCGGCATCCGCCGGAAGAGATGGACGGGGACGCTGCAGGGGACACATCGTGGGAGCGAAGGACAAGGTAAGTGCTGCAGGGACCCCCCAGAGAACGCTGCATAGTAAACCCGAGTGTAGCTCGGGGTTACTGTTCTTGGTGGTATAGAAATTCTACCCCGAGCTACACTCGGGAAAACCGCCAAGGAGGTTAAATGTTCTATCTTGATGCTTTGATGTCTTCCTTGGTCACCCAGCATGCTTCCCTTTTACAACCTTCCCATTTGATTTGTACTTGGTCCAGATTTTAGACACAGCTGACTGGAAACAGCCAACATCTTTTGCAACATTCCATGATGATTTACCTTCTTGAAGAAGGTTTATAATCCTCTCCTTTCTGTCAACTGACATCTCTTGTGTTGGAGTCAGGATTCATGTCAATCACTTTGGTGCAACAGCTCATCAAGGTGTGCAAGCATTCTTTTAACTGC